GGTTGCAGCGAGTGGTTACGATCCACCGACCTCTGGGTTATGGGCCCAGCACGCTTCCACTGCGCAATGGAACCAATCCACACCAACGGTTTATATGTTGGATGGTCAATCTAAGAAACGTGATTGGTTGTTGATGTGCAACACCTTGAACCTGGGTGATTAAACTTTAATGTCATGATTGTAACTTCAAATCATATGCACGACAGAAGTTAAAAGACTACATAAAAACCCAAGAAGAATTTGGAAAACCCTATTCCCCATGAACGAGCTTCCTTAATCTCCCCGATCGCAAAAGGTTATATTAGGTTGTCTCATAAATGGTGTCGTTTTTCTTCAAACAAAAAATTTTGAACTAAAATCCTACCCTTGCAAAACATCTCACATACCATTCGAAAGAGAATCGCCTGCTCTACAAAGAGAGCTTGTTTGGTTTCTATAATCACTGCGCAGTTTTCAAATTTCGACCCTGCAAAATGGGAGGTCCAGTCGACGAAAATCAGCCAAACCGACAGCGAGCTCTAACACAATTTTCCCTGAGGAGAAATCAATCAATGATGTACTCTTCACTTACTCATGACCTCTTCTAAACATTTCATTGATGGTTTGTGGAAAAAGCCTTCCCCTATTTCCTTACGAATTTGATTTTTGAGAAGCCATAGTGTTCTTCAAACTAAAATTTTTCCCCTAAATCGCCATTGTTTCATATAAAGTGATATAGCATTCGTGAGCAAATCTACTGCTCAACTTGCCCATATGTTTCGTTTGTATACTCGTCATGAATCGGGTCAAATTTGCTTGTGTGATAGGGTGTCCAGTACACGAAAATGACCATAATCAGGCATATATTCCTAAGTTAGACATGACTTGCTATCAGCATTACACAAATTTTCAATGTCTCGGCTGTAAGAAGTTTTTGGCATAGACTTCAAGGGGTGGTACTTGACTATCGAGCTCTGGCGGAAAAGCCAAATCTGCGAAAGTAGCGACGCGGCTGCTGGCAACCCTGATAGCGGAATATTCAGAAGAGATCATGAGTAAGTGAAGGGTATGTCATTGACTAATTTCTCCTTAGGGAAGATAGTGTTAGAGCTCG